CAAGAAATATATTCCATATTAGCGGATAATTAGATAAGTGGGACGGACAGGCATACGGATTAAAACAAAAAATTGCATAACTTGTATATTAGTGTATAGAACGTAGAAACGATGAAATAGCCACGAAAAGAATCATTTTCGACGATGTTTTTTACAAGCAGGCAGAACAGTGCGAGTAGATTAAAGATACAAACAAAAAAAATACGTCATTGTACCATTTAAGTAAAAACTAAAAAAAAAAAGGAAAAAAGTAACGAGAGAGCATGTCAAAAAAAAGCAGTTTATAAAAAGAATGCACTAGCGACGAAAAAGAGCCACTACAAACCGCCACCCCGAAAAAAAACCCACCCATTCCTACAGTAAAAAAAAAAAAAAGAAAAAAAAAGGAAAAAAAAAAGAAAAAAAAAGAAGCGTAGATTTTTTTAAATAATCTTATGTCGATAGTAGAACCGACATTCCGAAATTTTTCGAAAAAACAGTACGCGAAAAACGATGCACGCGAGAGATTTTTTACAATATAAAGGCTAAAAGAAAAACAATTCTTTGCAATAAGTTTTCAGCTTCATTCGATTATTTGTTTCTTTCTTGTTTAACGAAATATGTATCGTGTTCGTTCGTTCATCAATTATCGCATTCCTGTTTATCTGTTGATCGATTCTTTGATTGGGATATACGAATTTATTTCGACTCGTGGTGGTAGCGGTTTCTTAAGATGCCCAGGTCCAAAGAGTTCTGTTTTGCGGCTTTACTTTAAATGTTCTGTCGAACCAACAACATGCAAAGCGTTTCCGCCGATATATATGTATTGTAAAACTATTTCCAGGAACGATTCACATCGTTACGGTATTATTATATACTAATTAGCGTCTTTGTCGATTGTATTTCATATTTTCTAGAACGTTAAATAAAAAGATTTTCGAATCTGAATATAATGTGAAAGGAGGATGTCGTGATAACTTATTACAATAAAATGAATAAAAAAAAAAAAAAAAAAAAAAACAAAAAATCAAAAAGAATTTCTACGTTCTCTTATTCATTTTTCGATTCAACGTTTTAGATTGTCATCGTATGTAAACTTGGCTCTTTGGATCCAGTGCATTTCTAATTTCTTTGATTCAAATGGTTATTTCAACTTATTTCGTCGTTAGTGTTCACGGTTTTTCTTTATATTTTTGTTTTTTCCCATTATTTTCCCTTTATTTTATATCTCTTTGAATTGAATGTTGTATTTTTCGTTTATTAAAAAAAAAAAAAAAAAAAAAAAATAATTAAAGATAAAAAATAGAAACAACCGTATTGATATAACTGCATTTTTACAACTACAAATGCTCTCCTTTAAAAAAATTAAAGTTAAAAACGATTGTCTAATCGAATTAAATATTCTACAGTATATTTTTTAAATGGTATTTGTTTGTATTGTAAACTTTATAACTAGTAGACGCAATTAATTATGATAATTACATGTATGCTTTCTGTTACTTGAGTTTTGCCTTTTCTTCTTAATTTTTTTCTTTTTATATATATTCAAGGAATACCTATCTTAGAAATTTTATATATATATATATATATATATATACATATATATATACATATATATATATTTATTGTCATTTCCTACACCGATGATTCGAGACAATTTACGTGTAGGGCGATCTACGTTCTCTTGCTTTTATTGAATATTTGTTATGTTTCTTTTGAATTTTTATTAGTAAAGTCGCAAATAATTCAAAAAATTCTTTAAATTTTCAAAATTTCAAGATAATTATTCGAAAGTGAAAAAATTGACATTAAAACGTAGGTAGCCATACTGGTAGTTTGTCTTGATTATTAGCATTTTACTCATTAGTAGGCATACCTAATGCATCAGGTTTACACGACACTTTTACACACTTACACACTTGAAAAAAAATGATAATGAATTAACGGTATTCTAAATGTAACGTGTATATGGCTGTACAAATGTAACATTTTTTTCCATTATGTATGATGATATTATTAATGATAATGAAAAATGGGAAGATTTGATGCAAAAAATGTGGTATAATTAAATTTACAAAAAGAAAAAGAACATGTGCATTGATCAATGCATATCCGACTGTACAGTCGGTACGAGTATCGATCAATCGATTCACTCCCGAGTGATTTACCAATAAACTACTATTACTTTTAATTATTATAAAATACCATTTCTGTAATAACATTATGATATAAAACCATACATTGAATGGCAAAATTTCAATTTGATTTGGTATCCTGCATAATTCTTTTCTCCCGTTTGTTTCCTTAGTAGATGTACCTGTATTATATAAATAGTGTAATATTTAGTAAATATTACTCATTTTTTATGAGGATTACAATGAATTGAAATTATGAGGATTACATTTTATATCTTTAAAGGTAAAGTTTATTCTTATTGTTTATAACTTATTTGTTGGCTAGAAATTGTTGATTACGCACGAATGAGAACTATAGAATATGTTGTATGATAGTCTCGGGTAAAATTAAATTACTTATTGCACCTGCTATTCGTTTTATGAAATAATAATCAACGTATATTCTGGAAAGTAACATATGAAAAGTTACATTATTAAAAGACTCAGCATTTTATATTCAGCATGCCAATGTGGCCGCGGATATTTTGTAAATATTTTTTCTTTTATTCGCTCTCTTCCTTAGAACGTTCTCTCTCAGAACGTCTAGATTTCTTCTTACGTCGGCTTGGACTTCGGGACCTGGATTTATGTCTACGAGACCGAGATCTCGATCGATGTCGATGTCTAAAAAGATATAGAAAGTATTGTTACACAATTTTATTATTACTTATTTATATTACAATTTTATTATTTTATTATTTTAGATAGATAACATAGGTATCGAGAAATAAAGGTGTAAATAAATGAAAAAAATAAATTGGTAAATCATAATTGTAATGAAGTAAGTTGAAAATGATATTAATTATAAATATCACATATTTTTTAACTCCGCATTGCTTTATTACCGATCTTTGTGTCGATATTGAGATCGAGACCTATCGCGATCTCTTTCTTCATCTCGTGACATTGAATCTCTTTCTCTGTCTCGTTCTCTAATCATAGAATCCTTTTCTCTTTCACGATCGCGATCTCTATCCTTATCTCTTTCTCTGTCCCTTCCCATTGAATCTAATTCTCTATCGCGATCTCTTTCTCTTTCCCGATCTCTTTCACGATCTCGGGAATCTCTAGGTGGCATTATAGGAGGAATATTTGTAGGAGGTACCATAGTTGGTATTGTTTTTGGGCCAGTATCTTTTTCATCTTCCCCTTCTGTCATTGGAATAGCTAAATTTGTTGGTTGCCATGTCTGAAATATAAAGAATAATCAAATTTTTTTTGAGAAATAAAAATTAATAGTAAAACATGTAAGATGTAATATATACCGGATCGTTGCCCCATTGATTATCTTGTGTAGGTTCATAACTTTGATAATATGGATCTGTTTCAGGCATGTAAAAAGGAGCTGGTTCTCCAGGATATCCAGGAGGAGGCATATCAAATGCAGGAGGCATTCCTGCTCCTGGTGGTGGCACACTCATATCAGGAAAACCTGGTTTTCTAGAATATTCTCTTCTATCTGCAGTCATTACTTGTATCACATTTCCTTTTGGTGGAGATTTATCAAGATTTCTTCTTGAAGCTAAACCTGAACTACCAATTACATCTATTGTCCCTGCCATTTTTCTTCCTGGAGGTGGTCCTGCCCTCTTTGGTCCCATTATGCCAGAATATTTACTATTATCATTAGTAATTGCAACTTGAGGTACTCTCATACTGCCTGCATTACCACTACCTCCCCCTGCATTCAATATCAAACCTACTCCAGATTCACTTCTCATTCTCTTTTGTCTTTCACAATAAGCTCTCCATGTTTCTTCATTAAAGCCATAATTAAAGTAATCAGTAATGTCAGCACCAGGCTGTCTCCAAGGTTTATCTTCTAACTGATCTAAATTAAACTCATGAGCAGGCATACCATTGATAACTCCTATAGTTTCAAATTCGTCTATACTGAATTTTCCTGGTTGTTTATTTAATTTATCTGGAACACCTGATGCATTTGTGAGCAATCCTCCTCTTTTAATATTGAGGCTACCATATGCAGGGGTCGATTTAATATCACCAATAACAACATGTACATCATCATCAGAATCTGAATCACTGGCAGCTTCTCCATCTTCTTGACTGGAAGCTTCTCTTATTCCATTTTTGTTTATTTCTGTATTATTTTCATTTTGAATATTATTAGTTGGTGAAGATTCTTCTTCTGGTGGTTCTGCCTCTTCAGATGGCTATAATTAAAGATAAACATTAAGGATTGAATTTAATTTCAAATCGTTTACAAATTAAATAGGTTATGTTTGTACGAGTAATAATGCGTATTTTGATGTGATAAAATATTTTTGAAGATATTTTTTCGAATAACGTATATAACCAATATTACAAAAGCTTAAACATTTAATATCTTATGATCATTCTTGTTAATTTTTCTCAATAAAAACCGATAATAATAACTAAATAAAAGGTTAGGAAAAGCGAACCTCTGTTGGTGGATCAATAACACTTTCTGTTTTCTGATCTTCCAAGATTTCTGACTTTTCTTGTATTGTAGCAGGAATTGAATCATTTTCTTGGCTTTCTGGTTGAACGGATGTCGGTGTATATTCTTTTCCATCAGTTGAATCTCCATATAACCATTGATCCTCATTTTCATCCGCCATTTTTCCTCTTCTCACTTGACAATTAAAGAATTCCGCATCTTCTGAACACGCGTAAACGATCAAAATACGAGTGCTTCATCCTGCAGGTTCACCAACCATTTGTTAATACTAAAACTAATTTTAATTTAAATCATTTAATATTTTATATTTTTTATTAATTCATTTTTACAATTAAATTCTTATATTCTTTTTAAATAAAATAATAAAAAATATCTGGTAAATTATATATTACTATTACTATTATAAATCTAAAAAATTGTTCTTAAGGTGGCATTAATGTATCAAAAGATTTAATGATTTGACGTGTACAAAAGTGTATATAGTGAATTAGTATATCTATAACTGTTTTGTTGTAAGATTACAGTTAGAATGGGTGCAGATAAAAATACAGAAAATCTTGTAAGTTTAATTGTGTAATTTTAATGAATGAATATTTAATAAAATATGTATTTCCAATATTTTGATATCATTATAAAAATTCATCGCTATGTGTCTCAGTCGTAAATATGTATTAGACATACTACATATGGTATTTTTAACCGCAAAAGTTATATTTTAATTAAATTTTACATACTATGTGAATGGATTTATATAATATATTAATATGCATTTTTTAAAATCACTATCAATTTATATTTTATACATGTTTTAATTTTTATACTATGTTTACTATTGATAGATAGAGAATGTTATTTAATATGCATTTCATTCATATATAGGCATTATTTAAAAATCTACTTTTTTTTAATTAAATTTATTCTTTTAGGTAATTAAAATCAATAAATGGGATGGATCTGCAGTAAAGAATGCATTAGATGATGCAGTTAAGGATGTACTTACAAAAAAATACAATTATATAGAAAACTTTGCTTTACTTGATGGAAGATTAGCTCTATGTGGAATTGCTGTAACAGTAGCAATTGTTGCTCTTCTTTGTGATTATTTATATCCTTTTCCTGCATCCAAACCAGTTTTAGCTATTTGTGTTACATTATACTTCCTGTTAATAGGACTTCTCACTTTATATACAACATACAAAGAAAAGGGTATATTTGTTGTAGCTATTCAAAGGTAAATTTCATACATTATATAATATAATATGATTCACTTAAAATTTTAAACAATCTTTAAGTTATTATATTTTATATATTTTAGGGATCCGGCAGGTTTTAATCCTGATCTTATTTGGGAAGCAAGTTCATATTTAAAAAGATATGATGATAAATATAATCTTGTGCTATCTGTTAGAAGTACTGTTACAGGAAATGTGAATGAAACTAGTGTTACAAAATCTGTTGCAAATTTTATTGATGTCAATGGCGTTGTTATTCCAGAATTGATAGAAAATGTTGTGACAAATATGCATGATAGCTTAACTACTCAACGTAAAGAAAAGTAGCAGAAAGAATGATATTCAATTGAATATGATCATTATCTTCTTTTTATAACATACAAAAAATTGTTTTTTTTATATTTCATGTATTTCATATTGGTGTTAAACCATTTTGAAAATAAAAGTTCAAAGATTTTAAAATTGTGTATGTATTATATAATTCATGTTTAAATACAATAGAAAAACAAATATAAATTTTTACATTACTGTTAATAGAATAAAAAATTTCTTTTTCACTTATAATACTAGTAAATTATTTACATAACTATATGTTATTTGACAATTCATTTTCAATATCACAGTTGAAATGAAATTGATGATAGCCATTGAAATAAAATATATATATATCTAACAATCAAAAAATAAGAAAAAAATAAAAATGATTATTATTAATAAATAATAGCCATTGAAAATTGAATGTATACATACCTCTAATAATTAAGAAATAAATTGATAAAAAGAAAAGCGACAGATATTTAGATTACATAAATAATATATGTAAGTTATCAATGAAAAATGACTGATTGTTCCCTAAACAGGTACATTAACAAAATGTGTCGTCTTCGTATTGAAGAATCGAAATTTTTATGTAATATAATAACATATATTTTTTAGAAAAATTTTTGTAAAAACGAGCAACAGACAAAAAATATTTCAGCTAATTTATATTCTATATAAAACTCGTTTTTTTTTTTTAGAAAATAATCGTTTCCAGACCAATGATAATTTATATTTTATATTAACCATGCGTTGTATCATCTTCTACAAAATCTGCTGCTTCTTCTCGTGTTACGCATACAACGTGAGAAACTTTGTTTCTAAATTTAACACCATAAAATTTATTCGCATGTTGCAACAATTCTGGTCTGTAATATAAATAATGATTAAATAAATTAAAAGAAATAAATTTATAGGAAATAATATAAAATACCTGAAAGTTGTCGTAATAAATTGAGCATCGGAACTAAGTTCGTGAATCATATCTGCTACAGCTTTTCTGTGTTGCGCGTCTAAAGCTTGATCAATTTCATCGAACAAATAAAACGGTGCTGGATCACATTTTTGAATTGCAAATATCAATGCTAATGCTACAAGTGATTTTTGTCCACCAGATAATTGATTCATTTCTCTCATTTCAGCTCTGTGACCCGTAAAAGATACTCGTATACCTACAGGAAAAAATATCAAAATAATTTACTTTTATTTATTTCTAATAGTAAAAAATAAATGTGAATATTATCTTACCAACACCAATAAATCTATCAGAATCAGCAGATTCTGGTGTTGTATCATCTCCTTCATCTCCATCTGCTGTTTTCATAACCAATTGAGCATGACCTGATGGCACAAGTTTTTTAAAGACTTCACTGAAGTATTTGCTTACCTAAATACAGAAAAATAATTTAAATGTTTTAATCCTAATTTCTATAAATACAAACAAAACGAGATCATATAATAAGCACAAAACAATATCAAGCTACATACTTGTTTAAATGTAAATTGAATTGCCTCACATTTACGTTGTTCAAGTACTGACATTAACTCTTTAATTTTTTCATCACCTCTATCTAATTCTTCTTTTCTTTTTACTAATTTTTCTTTTTGATCACTAAATGACATAAATTGATCTAATGCTTTTTTATTACATGGCTAAAATAAAAAATAATGATATAAGTTTTTGAACATGTTACATTTTATTAATTTTATTATGTAACATTTTATATTTTTATATATATTATTAATATACCTATATTTTTTTAAATGATTGTTTGCTTTTTCCATTTCTTTAAACAACTGTTTGGTAGACATAACACTAAATTTGGAGTATACTTCATGACTAGGTAATGCACCAAGTTCAGTGATTTTTTGTGTACATTCTACTATTTTTTGTTGCAAAATATTCAATTTACTAGCTAGTTTTTCTAAATCTTTAGCATCGGCTTCTATTTTTTCTTGTGCTTCTTTTTCTTTGATTTTCCATTTCTCAACTTCTGCAGATTCTGCTTTTTGCTATAAAAAACTTTATATCATATATATACTAATATTAATCTTAATATAATTAATTAATAATTACTATACTTACTTTTTTTATAGCATTAGTTACTCTTTCATTTTGAGCTTTAAAATCTGCATTTACTTTTACTAATCTTTTTTCAATATCTGCTAATTGTGCTTTCGATGATTCTAATTGGCGTTGCCGATCTTCTACAGATATTTCCTGTAATGCTTGAACCAATTCATCTTTTCTTCTGACTAAATTATTGGTCAACAAATTTTCTAATTATTTTTTTCTGCTTCTAATCGCATACGTTTAGCAAATGCTTCTTTATTATCTTTTGTTAAGCGTCTTATATCATCGTTTAACGTATCAACTTGACGTTGATCGGCAACAGACAATTGTGCCATAAGTTCTTGATGTAATTCACTTTCTAAACCTTCTTTTGTTGCACGCATTGCTTCTAAGCTCGATGTACACTGCGCTAAACTTCTTTCTTTCGGTGTACGATATCGTTCTATTGCGCTTAGTTCTTCTTTCATAAGCCGTATTTCTGCTTTCATTTTATCATACACATCCCTATAATAATTTTATTCATATGTATTAAAACATGACAAGTATAAAATAAATCTAAAATGTTCAATTTCGAATTTTAATTACATTAATTAATTATATAACTTACTTAGCTTTACTGTTTTTAGTTTCTGTTCTTTGCATCTCACTGACATAGGAACTAATATTTTGGTCTGCTTTTCTAATTTCTTCTTTAAGAGTTGCAAATTGAGATTCGAGAGATGAAATTTGAGCTATTAATTCCGATCTAGTTTTTTGTATTTCTAATCGAGATCTTAATGTATTAAAATATCCGCCTGTTAAAGATCCTTTTGAAGATACTTGATCACCTTCAAGCGTTACACAATCTAAACCTGATGTGCGAGCCAAATTTGTTGCAGCTTCTAAATTACGACAGATTAATGTTTTTCCAAATATATACCTATATTTACAAATTAAACATAAAAATATTCTTATTTTTATTATTTCTAAAAATTATTAAAATATTAAATATTAAAAATATTAAAAAATTGATAATTTATTTACCTTAAGGCTTTATCATATTTTTGATCATAATTTAATTGTGATATCATCGGTATGGCATCACTAGTTTCTGGATAATCTATATCTTTTACATGAAGTCGATTTAAAGGCATAAATGTTACTTCCCCTGGGAGACGTTGATTATTCATTTCTTTTAAAATTTTTGTTCCAAATTTATCAGTTTCCACAATATGATGAAATAATCGATTTCCAGCAGTTACCTCTACAGCCATATAAACACTCTTGTCGCAACTAAAATTCTCAATTACAGGCCCATAATAACTACTCACCTCATGGGCCATATCTTTACGTGTTCTAAAAAGGAAATATTATAAATATTAAATAAAAAATATTAATATAATAATATTCCCAAAAAATTATATAATGCTTACCGAAATGTATCTAATACTTTTCGTACACTATCTCGACCATTTAAAATAGGTTTTCCTGCCATAGATCGTAAACTTTGATCCGCTTTTGCCAAATCTTCTTTCAACCCAGATAAATTAAGTTGTAATACACTCTCTTGACGATATCTATAATATAAATATAATTTATATTATTCGATTAAAATCTAAACTATAAAAAGTACTACATAATAAACAAACTGTTCTTTGCGAGTAGCTTGGCACTGATCCTTTGCTTTAGTAAGTTCGTAATATTGTTTATTATGTTCATCTATTGAAGTTCGTTGCTGTTCCATTTCACGCGTATGTTCTTCGATTTTCTTTTCCAAAGTAATTTGTTTTTCTGCATCTCGTTTTAAATCCTCACTAATTTTTCTTTGATGTTCTTCTTTATCTTTAATTTGTTTGGTAAGTTGTTTAAGTTCATTTTGTATCCATTTATCTCTTTCATCCTAATATAAATGCATTATTATTAAAATATTGTTTTTATACTTTTTTTTTACTACACATTTTATATTTAATTATGTTTAATACCCTGCTAGTAAATTGGCTGCCACGTCCTTGCTTGGCATATAATTCTTTCCGTTTTTGTTCTTTTAATTGTAATTCACGTGTGCATTCTTCTTCAACACGCTTCATTTCTTCATACTAATATATAAAATAAAATATTAATCAAAATAATAATTAATTAAAAGTATTATATTATTAAGCACTTCAATTATGATAACTTACTTCGGGTTTTAATTCTTCTAATTCTGCTTCTCTTGCTGCAATATTTACTTTTAATTTTTCTAATTCTTGTTGAGCACGTTTTCGACTGTCATTATCTCCTTTTACTTCTTCCAATAAATCATTAATAGTTAATGTTAATTTAGTTTTTTCTTTTAATAATTGTTGCTGTTCAGCACTACAAATTTCATTTTTAATTTAGAACTAGCAATCATTAAATTGCTTGTACATAAATTTTTGAATATAATACCTTAATGTATCTCGTTCCTCTTTTGCAGTTTGTACTTCTTTTTTTGCTTCTTTAAGTCGTTTTGTAGCTGCTCTCACCATCTCCTGTGCAGTTTTTGCTTCAGCACACAATCTTGCTTGTTCAGCACCACTATTAGCTCTAGATTTTTCTAGTTCTTCTAATTTTCTTTTATTTTCTTTGAGTTCTCTTTCATGAATTGTATATTCTAAACATCGACGTTGTTTATCCCAACATTGATATTCTTTAAGTTCTTCTTTTTCTTCTTCTAACGTTTTTAAGCGTTCCTCTATAATGCAATTATAAATTATTTTTTAGAAATTAACAGTAAGATTTAATGAGATTATATTAATAAATAACAAAATTTACCTATGGTTCTTAAAAAATCTTGAATTTTTTCTAATTTGCCTTCAGTTTCTTTTAAAATAAATTTTGATTCTTCTCTTCTATCATCATATACTCTAGTACCAGCTACTTCTCTTAATAATTTTAGTCTTTGAGAATCAGGTGCTGTTGCCATTTGATTTATCTATAAAATACAATTTATTACTTTTTTACCTTGTTTTTATAAATCATTTATAAATACACACATACTTTTCCCTGTTTTACAATATAATATGGATTTGATCTTGAAAATCCTGCTGATTCTAATAAATTCATTACATCATTT